TTTGAAAAAGGAAGATATAAGAGAGCAAATATAAGCAGTGAAAGATCACTTTGACAAGGAGCTACATAAACAAATCCAAGAAGCTAAAGATCACCTCAAAAGGGAGGTAGAGGTTCTAAAAAAAAAAAAACCCAAACAGAAATCCTTGAAATGAAAGAAACAATAAACCAAATTAAAAGCTCAAATGAAAGCATCACCAACAGAGTAAACCACATGGAAGATAGGATATTGGACAATGAAGATAAAATGTATAATCTTGAACAAATATTTGTTGATTGATTGTATATCCTCTTCAGAGAAGTGCCTGTTCAGGCCCTGGGCCATTTATTGATTGGGTTTTTATGTTTTTGGTACTTAGCTTTTGAGTTCTTTATATACCTTAGAGATTAGTGCTCTATCTGATGTGTGAGGGGTAAAAATTTGCTCCCAGGATGTAGGCTCTCTATTCACCTCATATATTGTTTCTTTTGCTGAGAAGAAACTTTTTCTCACTTATAATCCTTAATGTCTGTCAAGTGTGTTTTTTCAAGGGAGAGTTTTTAGTAGTTTTCTTATTCTTTATTTCTATATTTTCTGTATTATGTATATATCATTTTCTGTATTTTCTATATAATACATGTATATATAAATAAGATATTTCTGGTAGTGGGGAAATAAATGACAGACAAATTGAAATCTCTGGATAATCCTCATTTTACTTTGATCATACTTTATAATTAAAATTCTAAAACTATAGTTTTTATGAATTTATCTGTTTAATTTAGTGTTTATCTTTTTATCCCACTTGTATTCTAAATTCAAGATACCAATGAACAGTAAAACGCCCTCTCCATATATTGTTATTTATACACACACACACACACACACACACACACACACACACACACACCAAGATTTGTAAATATATAGTCTGTTAAATAATCTATAGAGTTTTTAGATGAAAGATGGTATGTAAAAGAAAATTGCTAAAATGATTTGCTTCTAATCAATAATGTGTACATTTTAACCACTTCGATTGTTTTAAGGAATCATGTGAACAGAACTGTGTTTTCTTTTTTCAGGCATGTTTACATATCACAAGGACTCACACTGCCATTGGTTTAGCAGCTTTAAATGTGATAACTATTCTGAATTCCGATTGGTTGGAATTGTATCCTTTAAACTTTCCACTAGGAGGTGCTAATAGACAAGAGATTTTGAAAGATTTTATTTATTTTTGAAAAGTGTTCTTTTAGTAAATTAAACATTCTTGTCAGATATATAAATAGATTTTTCTGTCATCTTTACTACATGTAATATCATAGCTATATAGCATCAGACTTAGTTAATTGAAAAGAATGGCTAACTATTGATTTTTTTCTAAAACTCTTACTCAAAATAAAAATGGGCTATTATATATTTTATATATAATCTAAATTATCAGAAATTTAAAACATTTTTAAAAATTAAAGTATTTTCCATTTATAATACTTTTGTGTTCTTTCATTTTGTGCTTATATCACTCAGTTTAATAAATTGAAATTGTGGTAATTAAATCTAGTTCTGTAAAACCCCAAATCTTGAGATATAAGGGAGAAATCCTTAAAAAGTGAATATAATAGGAATGTATAAAGCATATGGTAGTATTTGGTAGTGTTTTTAAAATTTTATAAATCCATATCTCATTTTCTGGTCTCTAGAAGTTATATTGTGGAGGACATTCCTACAGGGGGGAGACTAAGTAAGATGCCTTCTACATTAACTTTTTAAATTCTAAGGAATACAATTATGAAAGAAAGGAGGGAAGAGTAAATAAATGAGCAAGCACTAGAGACTTATAGGGTAAAAAGGAGAGATTCTTTACCTTAGAAGATTACCATCTAAATGAACAGATGACCTCCAGTGCGAGGTAGACTGTCCTCAGAGTCAAATGGCCATGTACATTAAGTGCTAAGGAGTTCTGAGAAGGAAAAAATGAGTATATTCCTCCTGGGAAGGTAGAGATTTTAAAAGGAGCAATCACATTTGGTTTACAGAAGACTGGGGAGAGTATGACATTATAATAAGCTGAGAGGATGGCAAGAAAAAAAGGTTGAATTATGTTGGGCTTATTACAGAACAGTGAGTACAATGGGAATTACTAAAGATACTACAAGGAAAAAGAATTAAGAGCCATCTTATTGAGAACTTTGAGTGTATTGTCTTTTTTGCATGCATTGGGATAAATCCTGGGGAATGTATATGGAAATTTAAAGGTCAAATGAAAGAAAAGGTAGCAGGGAAAAAAAACCTCACATTGAGATAGTAAGCTTAATTAAAAATTTTGTATAGGGCTGGGGATGTAGCTCAAGCGGTAGAGCACTCACCTGGCATGCGTGCGGCCCAGGCTCGATCCTCAGCACCACATACAAAGATGTTGTGTCTGCCGAAAACTAAATAAATACTAAAAAAAAATGTATATATTATCATGTCTAAACATCCAGAGTGTTAAGCTTCACGATATAGAAGGAAGCTTAACAATTCTTAGACTGCTTTATTCTGTTACCTACAGTACTTATTTGGTGAATGTGTTTCAATTTCATTGGAGGCCCCAATCATTGGTACTTCTCACTACACTAAGACCAATTTAAATTTCCTGATATATGTGATTGTCACACTTTATATTCTTATACTACAACTTAATTTGGGTGATATTTTGGCTTTCTAATACTTGTAATAAAGTACTTAGTTATTACACTTTTAAAATAGTGCTTTATAGATACAATCATGAATTTGCTAATCTTCTTTTGCATTAGATTAGTTTTTATTTAGTTATTACCCAAAAGAGCATATTAAATGTGTTTACATGTCATATATTCCAGTTTACACAATTAAACCTAAAATTATACTCTTACTATGTGTATTATCACACATACACAGAAACATAAGAAAGCATGACTGATGCCCCCAAAAGTGTGATACTATAGGAAAATAAGAAAAATGTTAGATGATAGTGAGTTAGGGTTCTGTCAGTGGTTAGGAGATCTGTCATCTATCAAAGGTGAGAAGACCTGAAAATTCAGATGTAATAGGCATGACCATTCAAAAAAAAAAATACTTGGTTCTATTATATCTAGTTTTTAATTTTAGAACCAAAGATTTTTTTGTTCTATTGGTATTGTTTCTTTTACAAATTATTTTTAAATATGGTAAGACCTTGGAATTTACAATTAATATTGTAATAAAACCTACAATAATAATTGTAAAATGCCTTGAAGATTACATGGAAAGTTATAATATATCATTGTTTTAAAACTAGAATTGTCTATTATCAAAAAGGACATTGGAATCAAGAGAGGAGGCAATATAGTATAGTATAGCATTTCCAGACTCTGCTATTTGTATAACATCTCAGAGGTTCCAACAAAAAAATTACCCCATCTCCTTCCCTGCTTCAACCAGAGCAGGTTGATTGAGTGTGAAATGAAATGCTATGCTGTGTCTGCATATGAGAGTGCCCTGTAGTAAATGCTATAATCCCACTTCCTCACCTGCCTCATCCTACCACTCAGGATTATAATATTTAAATTCTTAAAATATTTTTTTTAGTTTGTAGATGGACATTATTTTATTTATTTATTTTTATTTGGTGCTAAGGATCTCATCCAGTGCCACACATGTGCTAGGCAAGTATCCTACCACTGAGGCTACAATCCCAGCCCTAATATTTAAATTTTAAATGAAAATATGCTTAGAACTCATCACCATAATAGATTATAATAACTATTACAATCAATAATTGTAATATTGTAGTTAATAATAACTATACTATTGTGGCAGTCATTGTTGCTATTATTATAATTGTAGAAATGTATTAGAATACATTTTCAATATCTGTTTCCTTCAACACCCTAATCAGTCTGTATTTATATGGTTACTTATGAAATGGAATAGCTATTTCTTATGTTATTATGAGCCTTCATTCTGTCGTAACACATTAAAATATTATCAGTCTTTCAGTATTTGTTTTCAATAATTTACTCAGCCTTATGTTTAAATTTCCTTTTGAGTCTATCAAATGAATTACTTCTAAAATAACTTTATGTAATAATTGGCAGTTGAAATATTATGAAATTTGACCCTTCTTTCAGCAAATGGGTAAGTTACTTTTGTCACATAATTAATAGCTAAAATACAAATAGGCAAAGTTTATAACATCTGAGTTTTTTTAATTTTGATACTGATAAATTCAAGTAACAATTTCTTCTTACATTTTACTGTAGAAGACTACTTGCCCTATTAACTTATCAATAGTGTGTATATATTCATATGCTTATTCTTTTCTTCACATGTTTTGTATTTAATTTTAAAATAGCCTAAATAACCATTTCTAAAATCAGTAGTGCCTTCTGCAGTGAGTCTTGAATAAACTCTTGCTGCTACTTATAAAACCACCAACATCTTTATTTAAATTTAGAAAATCTTTAATGTTAAATAATTTAAAGAAATGTCTGAAGTTGCTGTCTATCATAATCTTAAATAAGCTTTTCCAGGGAAATCACTACATTCTATCAATTGAAGACCTCCTTTATACATGACTTTTGATAATCAAGGAGTTATATTACATAAAATAAAGGGAAAATAAGTGAAAGAGAGGAAAGGAACTATGTGGGACTAATTGTAACATCAGTGTTGAATCTGAAAGAAGTATGTAAAAAGTAGATTGTTGCATAATTCAAAACTCATTTGTTGTCATGGATTTTATGTTAATGCTTAACATTTAGTATGCATAGCTTATGGGACTAGCTGTTTATAACAGCATCACCTTGGATATTCGTTTCCCTCCTTGCTGTTACAAGAAATTATTGAGCCCTCCCATCGTTCCTAGTGATCAAAATACACCAGTAGGCATCTGCAGTGTTGCCATTGACGACTTATGTCAAATTATGCCTGTAAGTATACATGCCTGACATCTAGTCCCTTAATGCTAAATTATGTCTCTTCTACCTAAACAGTCTTTCTCCTTCTAGTGCTATTTTATTCTTAAATATTGTTTCCCTCTACTTTTGGAAACTCATCTTTTTTTTTTTTCATATAGCTTCCCCCTTCTTTACAGAAACACATCATCACTTTGCAGCATGCCTAAGCTCTTACAGAATAGAACAGACTTTGAAATCACAGAACTAGTGATTTTTTTGATTTTTGAATCCAGTCTCTTCACTTTTTAGCTTTATGAATTTGCATTTAACTTAACCTTTCTGTGCTCCAGTTTTCTATGTAAACAGTGGGATAGTCTTTTTTAATAATTAAGACAAATGATGACAGTTATGTCAAATCTATACCACCTTAGATTTGTATGGTCAATGTATTGTGTAAAGTATATAAAATAATTCTAACCATTCTGTTATTTATCTTTTTAATAATTTAAAAAATAAAACTCATTTTTTCATGAAACTTAAAAATGTTTCAGAAATATTAGGTCAGTCATTGTATTTTTTTTAATATTTTTTAATCGTTGATGGACCTTTATTTTATTTATTTGTATGTGGTGCTGAGAATCAAATCCAGTGTCTCACACATGCTAGGCAAGCGTACTACCACTGAGCCACAACCCCAGCCCCTCATTCTATTTTTAAGTCCTTACTCATGGATAACTTGAGTTATAACAAAATATAAGAAAATATTTCTTCCAGTTTTCTGAACTTTTCCTTGGGAGAGAAGGGCATAGTAACTAAAATGTATGAACTGCTTAACATGTAAACTGCATATTTTATGTTTAGTAGATGAATCATAAGACATTAGCAGATTTTAATAAGAATATAAATTGAAGCCAGGTGTGGTAGCAAACACCTGTAATCTTAGCGACTCAGGAGGCTGAGGCAGGAAGATTACAGTTCAAGGCCAACTTGGGCAATTTAGTGAGACTCACAGCAATTTAGTGAGAAACTGTCTCAAATTAAAAAAAAAAGAAGGACTGGGGATGTAGTTTAGTGCCCCTGAGTTCAATCTTCAGTATGAAAAGAAAAAAGATATTGAAAGAAGCAGCAGTGCAGAATAAAACATTGAGTTATGCTGGAAATCACAGTAGAGGAATGCTTCCTTTGCTTGCTACTTAGGAATAGATCCTGCAGTTACACTTCTATGGTTTCTTTGGATAGCTTCTTCTTACATGGTCTATAATGAGTTTTCCTAAGCCTTTGGATGGTAAAAATCATTAACAAGCATTTTGTATCCTGGGAAATACATCTCAAATACTTATTTTGAAATCTGAAATAGTTTACTTTTTTATCTCATATGTAAGTGAACTATGATAGATCTATTTAACTATTTAAGGTAATACTAGTTGATCTGAAAAGATAGATAATAGATTTCTTTTTATAGGAATTGGCCCACGGATTAACTGAACTCTTATCATATGAAGGCAATGTTGAAGAAGATTTCTATTCAACATTCCAGGTACTAATAGGCATATAGCTATTTGTTAGCCATTAACTCATATATGAAAAATGCTATTTGTTACTAAACACTTGCTGTTAGAAAAGATGAACAAGGATTAGTCATCACAATCCCCTTCTGAAAGGATCTTAACCTGGTAGAGACAGTGAAGCAGACACATGTGGTAAAGCAGTCAGTGAAAGTCCTTAAAGAAAATTCACCAAGAATGAGGTACTCAGCTAGGCAGTTTTACATGTTCCCTTTACTCAGTTACTGTCTCCAGGTTTTTTAGTTTTCAAAACTAAGCCTCTCCTGTAACATCAACACAAGAAGTTAAGAGTTGAATCTGATGGGTCAGACCAAAACACTCTCATTTTCACTGTTCTTACAATAGTTAGGAGATAGAAATTACAGTGATCCGCATAGATCCTAAGTGTATCCGCCTGATGACCACACAGCTAGTTGTATGTTATGTGTTCAAAAGGGAAGGGACAATACCTATTCTTTTTAAAATTTACAAACCTATTCATCTAAGCCTGTTGTTATGTCAGTGATACCAGTAAACATGCTGTTATGGTATCTCCCATCAGGTTTTTCAAGAAGAATTTGGAATAATTAAATCCTATAATTTAAAGCCAGGAGGTGATAAAATTCCAGTTACCAATCAAAATAGGAAAGGTAAGATATTTTTAAAATAAAATGAACTAGTATTTACCATTTACTTTTACTGCATAACAAATGTAAAATTGCTTTTCAGAATATGTACAGCTTTATACTGACTTCCTTATCAACAAATCCATCTATAAGCAGTTTGCTGCATTTTATTATGGATTTCATAGTGTATGTGCTTCAAATGCCCTAATGGTGAGTTCAAAACTTTAAGCTTTCAATTGGGTTTTCTAATACTATATCATTGACAAATAATTCCTTAAGTATGCTTTTATAATTAGGAAATTTTTCTACTTAATAATTCTCCCATTCTCTAGAGGTAAAAACAAACAAAAACCCCAGTCACTTCATTTTTTTCCTCTCCTCTTTTGCTGTCTTATACTGCGTGTTTTAAGACTTGTAAAACTCTCCCAAAGAAAGCAGAAGAGACTTATGAACTTAAGGCTTACAACTGAGGGACCCAAGCACAGAAGCAGAGTTAACATTTTGTTCCAGGGCAAAAGCCAGAACTTCTCTCTGATTATCATGTGTGTGTTTTCTGCTTCCTCAAGGATCACTTAGCAACTCTGAGTTGCCTCTTACCCATAAGAAATAGTTTATCGCCAGAGCCATGGTTGACTCAGGTTGGTTTGGCTTGTCTTAATTGTGTGAATATGGGTTAGAATGTCAAGTTGGAAATATCAGATGATACCCTTCACCCCAGTACCCAGGGAAAATTGAACTGTGCCATTTGTATCTCCCTTCAATTTTATGAATGATTGAAATAAGACCTTTCATTTGAATTATTTTTCTTAGCACTGAGAAATGGACTGTAGAAGTTACTTTGGAGCAGGAGCAGGGATCTTTAATCCTGCTCAGTTTGAGCAATATTTATAGCATGTTGTTGTTGAAAGTACCTTTGAAAAAAATATTTGATCAAGTCTAAGTTTTAATTATGATACACCGATGGTTGTGGGGATGGAAAGAGTTAAAATAAGAATTAAATGGCATATCATGATCTCTATTTTAGATATATTTAATCTCTTAGGTAAGAGACTAACCACCTAAAGGGTGAAACAAGTGAGCACCAAAACAGACTGTAAATACCCAAGCTCTTCAGTGCACTAAGATGATTTTGTAGGATATTGGTAGAAGGCAGGCAAATCAGTAGATATAAGAGCTTCATGATGCTTTGGGAGAAGAGTAATTTGGATTCATGCTAAGTCATTTGCTTGTTTTTCTGACAAACTACTAATTACTATTTTATAAGGTATAATAAACCTTAATGCAAAAATATCTTACTTCAGTAGGAAAAATGCAAGTGGAAACAATTTTTCTTTAACAAAAATTATTTGATTTTAAGTCATGATTTTTGTGATTTGAGTCAGTGAAATAGTTCCTTTTTCATTTAAAACCATCACTTTAAAAAAAATCACTTTAATTATGATTTTTGATAATTATTGACAGCTGCTTCGTCCAGAAGAAGTCGAAATTCTGGTCTGTGGAAGTCCTGAACTGGACATGCATGCTCTACAGAGAAGTACTCAGTATGATGGGTATGCGAAAACAGACTTAACTATAAGGTGAGCTCCTTATACTTCTGGTAGGGGGTTGTAGAAAAGAGAACAAATAGAATATGGTTTGCTTATTTGTATAACTTATAATATGAATCAGTTAACTGAATTCTTTACTATCTTATTTCATCTGTAGAAAGTAATAAGAATACTAAATATGAAATCTCTTAGAAATCCTCTTGGGAAAAAGTTATGCAAATGACTTTTTAAATATTTATTTTTTAGTTGTAGTTGAACACAATACCTTTATTCTATTTATTTTTATGTGGTGCTGAGGATCAAACCCAGGGCCTCGAACACACTAGGCAAGCACTCTACCCACTGAGCCACAACCCAGCCCTGCAAATGACTTTCTATAAAAGTATATTTTTCACTTATTTTAAAAAGTAACTTTGGTCTATATTTACAAATAGCATTTTAATAGCACTTGTTGGGCTGGGGAGGTGCTCCTAGGTATAGTGCTTGCCTAGCATGAACAAAGCCCTGGATTTAATCCCCAGTACTGGATGAAAAAATAGCATTGTGTTGATAAGAGTTGTAAGTTATGTATGAAACAAAAATGTGTTTTGTACTATCTATTATTGGACTATTTATGTAATTTTATAAAATTATTATTTATAATAATATTCAAAAATCTGATTCATATACAGAAACTCATTCTTTAATTTTACATTAGGGATATTATATATTGTAAGGAAAGTTTTTTTCTCATATCTTACTTCATATTTCTTTATTATGATCTACATGAATTTTTGTCAGGCTATTTCATGTAAATTTCCTTTGTTGTTTTATAGATACTTTTGGGATGTTGTACTTGGATTTCCTCTTGATCTTCAAAAGAAATTGTTACATTTTACTACAGGAAGTGACAGAGTTCCTGTAGGAGGGATGGCTGATTTGAACTTCAAAATCTCAAAGAATGAAACTTCTACTAACTGGTAAATTTCCAGATTATAATTTTATTTTAATTTATAGGTTATTACTAATAACAGTATTATATTTGGAATTAGAAGATTCTCTTAATCTGAAATCATTTTCATAGAAGAATCTTCAGAGTAAACATGGCCTTGAAATGAGAAAGACTTTAGCTGAAAGTTCTCTATTAGCTTTTGACACATACCAATACTAACTAATAGTAATTAATTTCCATCAACTTTTTACTTTGCTAGGTTAAATAATTGCTTTGTAGTCTCTTTTAGAACCTAGCCTACTTGGTAGTAGTATATTGTCTAACTTTCCTTTGTATTTAAATATAGTTTTTATTTTTAGGGAAAATATTAAGTTGGAGTTTCTTATTTATTTATAGGGGTTTGGTCCTATTATACTTAGCACTATAGGCACCTCTAAAACAAGTCTTTTTTTAATGTCATGCTCTTTACATAATGAAGTGGTACTGAGAATGGCTTTGAATTATTTGCTAGTACTGTTTATTGGTTAATGCTTATCTACTTATTACTTTTCCCAAATACTTTGTAATTACTAAAGCCAATTTGAGTAGATACAAACTGGGTATAATCATTTTTTCCCTCCTGTTCTATGCATTGAATATTCCTCAAGTCCTGTCAGTTTTTTCTTCATTTTAGAGCTGTCCTTTGCTTTCCCCATTGCTACCACCCTGATTAGTTAACTTTTTACCTCAGTCCTAACTTATTTAAATAGTCTTCTTCCTAATTTACCTGCTCAAGTTCTTTCTTATCTAATTAAATTGTCCTATTAAGCTCATTTTCCTTAACACTGTTTTGATCATGATGTTTTCCAGGGAGTAATATTTCATTGCTCCCCAAAAGTTTAAGTTCTAGAATCTAGAACCTATCAAACAAAGCTCTATATCCTTCCATACTATGTATCATTTTCATTTTTTTAATGCTGTGATCAACAGGCTGTTTTGCTAGTTTCTTAAACACATTCCATGCCTTCCTTCCTCCACGACTTTAAGTTTTTCTCTTCACATTTAATATTTGCTTGCTATCTCTTTGGAAGACCCAGTTCAATGTCTACTTCCTCTGTAAGCCAAAAGTCTTCATTCATTCAGTGAGTGCCTCGAACACTGAAGTGATAATTCTATTTACTGTATTATATTTTATATATTAAGTCATTGAGCTCTTCAAGGCAGAGGCCAAGCCTTATAAGCCTTTGTATTCTCCCTATAGCCCATACATTGAACAAATATTTAAGCAAACATCAGAATTATATTTCAAAACTTAAAACAAATGTTTATACACATATATGTATATAATTACAAACCCAGGGCCTTATACATGATAGGCAAATGCTTTACTACTGAGCTACATCCCCAGTCAAATAACCATTTAAAAAGGTAATCTGAGTAGTGCATTTTAATACAAATAATAGTAAAACAATAATTACTAATAAAATAATAGATGTCTGAATAAATAATGCAACAAACAAATAATGTCAATTACATATAAACTTTTTTAATCATTATTATTATTATTATTATTTCAGTTATTATTTCATGCGCTAATATGGCTTAATCATGAATATACCACAATGCTAGGACTCCCAGTGAGAATTTCACATAGATTAAATGTATCTGTCACAGACACATTTCAATCTGACCCACAGAACAACAATTCAGATAAAAGGGGAGTTTCCACTCCTCCACCCACCATGAAAACACACTCCATTTTTATTAAATAAGAATTTTAAGTATTTACAGGTTACAGCACTGGTTTTGAGTCAGACTGATCTGGGTTTGAATCTGAGGTCTACCTCTTTACCAGCTCTATAGCTTTGAATAGGTTATTTAACCTGTATTCTTCCACATATATTTTTCTTCAGCTATAAAATGAAACTAATAACGACTTCTTAGGTTGTTTTGACTCTTAAATGAAGTAATATATGTAAAAGCATTAGGCACAATGCTTATCATAGACAAGCATTCAGTAAATGCTAACTGATCCTAATTATTATTAAATCAGGAGAGTTCTCAAAGTTCAGTTTCTAATCATATAAACTTCTTTAAAAATGTTCTCCTTTTCTCTGGTATATTCTCATTTTTTTATTTGTTGACTTCTCTGATAGCTATTCTGATGCTATGAGTCCATAAAAACTGAAAGAAAGGATCTAAGATTCTATAGAAATCTGGAATGAAGAAAACAATGTCGTCTGGTAGAGGGGTTAGGGGAGCTAGCCAAACAATCCAGAGGATGCCTAAGGCAAAAACATTAAAAAGTGTATCCATTAGGGTTCCCAAAGTGCTCTTTTCATAACTTTTTGATGATTCGGACTGGAATACATTAACATTATATTATCTTTTACTTTCTAGGTGTTTTATGTAGATAGCTCATCTGTTCTTTTAAACAATTTAGTTGGATAATTTACCCAATTGTGTTGATTAAGACAAGATTTGAAGACTTTAAGCAACTCAAAGAAAGTCCCCATTGCTAATAAGCAGGGAAAGCAATATTCAAATTCAAATCTGTCTGATTCCAAAACAGATGCTTTTCAAATGAAAGTTTCATTAGAGCAGGGATATTGATTGTCTAGTCTGTAAACGTAGCCATAGTGTCCATAGTTAGGTACTAAATAAATATTTGTTCAGTATAGGAATACATGAATCATATCTTGACAAAGTAGAATAGATTGTGTCTGATATTTTAAAAATTTCTTTAGCAGTCATTTTGTGTGTATTTTAAGACTTAATGTTTTCAAAAAATTATTTTCCCTAGGCTACCTGTGGCCCACACCTGCTTCAATCAACTTTGCCTTCCCCCCTACAAGAGCAAAAAAGACCTGAAACAGAAATTGATCATTGGAATTTCAAATTCAGAAGGTTTTGGACTCGAGTAGCCTAAAAGACTTGAAATATAATATTTTATATGTAGCATTCACTTCCCTCTTATTGTGCCTTTAACCTTTTCATGTTTCTGTCTCAAAACACTTTCAAAAAGCTCCAACTTTAAAAGACTGAGCTGTTGTTTTTTTAGTTTTTGGTTTTTTGGGTTTTTTTGTAATCAATTATGAAGTCTGTTAAGTGAAGGCATGATTTTCTAAAAACACAGAATTTTCTTGAGTGAGGAAAAGACCACATGGCAGAAACAGATATGAGTCCAGTCACTCATTTTTTTAGCACTTTATCATTTTCCATAAGTAGTTTGCCACAGGTGTTCCACTGGGAAAATGAAGGGTAGTAAAGAATGCATTTAGGACATAGTCGAACCCAGTGGCAGATTATGTGCTACTAGCACACAGTAGCAAAGCAAATAGCTACATAATATTTACCATAAAGCATGTAGCCATATTTTCATATAGAGGTAAACAACAGTATAATTGCAAATGCAGTTTACAGGGTTTTTTGATATACTGGCTTTGGGTCCTATAAGATTCTTTTCAACTATTGCTGAAAAGCATGTAAATAATTACATAATAGCCTGAGAAATAATGGGATTTTGATAGTGTCATTTATTGCTAAAGATTTATTTTTACAAAGTAAATTCAGGGTTTTAGATGTGTATACAGCTTTTACAAATCAATAAAGATGATTGTATAAGAGTATTTTCAGACTAATTGGATTCAAGGTTATATTCTTTTAAGTATTGTTAGTCTGCATGCACATTGGCAGTAACTAGTTACCTGAATACTCTGTAATATTTGTATAATGATCATTTCTTCTTAAGGATCAAGACATTAGAAAAAATTGGATCTAACTTAACCATTGATGAATTAAGTCAATTACAAGCACAAAAAAAAAGAACTTCTTTTATATATATTTTGATTGACTACGTCTACCTTTTTTGATCACCAATTGTAATTGATTGATGTACAATCCACATTTTTTGATCACCAATTGTAATGAAACACTAATTTTTGACAAAAAATAGGATAAGGTATTTGACAAAAGTGAATACAGTAGCAACATTTGTGTCAAAATGATGTAACTTGGTATAAAATTTAAGTTCAATATTTTGGCCAAAATGTTTGTTTTTCACTGGATTCCGAACATAGGGAATTCAAAAGCACCCTTTGTTGTTTGTCTGTTTTGTTTCTAATAAAGTAGCATGTAACTGTATTTTAAGTCACAGTAAATGGGTTTTTTAAATTCATAGCAAATGAAGCAGTTTTATTAGCATGTTACAAATATATCCAAATCAAGACTTCTCTATTCTTTGCTAGCTTTCCTTCAGAAAATTCTGAAGTTCTGTTTGCAATAATAATAAAACCAGCATTTAGTACCAGCATATGGTTCATAGGCAAATAATATTTTCCCAAAATTTTTATAAGTTTAGGCTATGTTCTTGTTGCTGTACTTCCTGCACCCAACCAGCAGAATTCTTCAAAGGTGGAGGAATTAATCAACTTGTTTTCTGACCATATTGAACCCAAACCACAAATCTATTTGAGGAAAAGTAGTTACTTCATTTACTATTCTCTTTGAGACAAAAGTGACTATGTGTTTCCATTTGACTATACTGTTAAAGGGTATTTCTTCTTTAAAATCTTGGAAAGCCTAAGAGAGTTAAAGGCATATTGGTTTTGATTTATTTTGTTATACTGTTTTTAACCCATATGCAAATAAAACTGCTTCTGTCTTACCCTGCTTTGAACTAGAAAGTAAGATGTTTAATGTAGGTTACTACTAACTAATAAGCACAAAAGAATTATGTATAAGAAATCAGATATAAGTATTTCAAGTAAAATGTAAACAAAGTTTTTATTTGGTAGAGATGACTCATGGAAAAATTGTGTTGGCCTGGTCTGCATGTTTAATGACGTGCTTGTATATTGATAGATTTGTCATTTTAAGTAAGAAATATATAAGCAAGCCAAATTTTAAATGATGAAGTTCATAAATAACTGGAGAATTTTTGTCATTTATTGTTACTGAGTTGAAAGTCATAACCATTTATCACTAAATTGCACATTACCCTTATTTATTTATGCTGTTTTTGGTTTACATTGTAATAATACCTCATTTATAAAATAAAACCACTACTGTTACATTTTGTTAATTTAAACAGCTAGAAAATTCATGTTGTTACTTTTTTTATAAATAATCTGTTATGAATTCTTGATTTTTGTATCTACCACAGTAAATTAAAGCATTACACAGTATTTATCAGTATTTATAAAATGCTTTGTCTTTTTTTTTTTAGTAGTCCCCCTTTTGTTACAAATCTGTATTGTTAGTTTCTGGATAAAATTTTTGAAATATTAAACAATATCATCAGGCTTAGTTCATTTTGAACACTAGGAAATTAAGTAAAGCCATAGGTTTAAAATATAAATGCAAGCTATTCTTTGCATTACTCTATCCCTTAAACTAGTAACTAAGAAAACTGATAAGTTTAGGAAAACTGCTAAAATATAGCTTCAGAAGACATGCTATTGACACCACGTATAACCAATTTCCTTAGCATATTTTTAGTATGAAACAATGTATATCCAGTATCTGGATGATCGCACAGATACCCCACCAAATGAATATTATTGCCAATCAAGTACACCCACAAGTAAATTGAGTTTGACATTTTATTGGCCACAGATAGACAACTTCAGATCTTAAGTATTCCTCCTCAGAGCCAATCCTCTGGCCCTTTCCTCTCGCCCACATTTCCTAGCCCTAAAGAAGAAAGAAGAGATTATGAAAATGTAGGAAAGAATGTTTTAAGTGATCCATATACAAATAAAACTACTTCTAAAAGTCTTAGGAGTTTAATTCCTCCTGAATAGCCTTTAAGAGATATTTCTTTACTCTGGATATTGATCCTTTGTATAATGGGAGTTGCATTGCTTAATTTTGAATCCTAAATTGCCAATGACTGGGTACTTTTGGAAGATTAGGTAGCTGGATGGAAGAAAGACCAGGGTGGGTTTTCTCAGGGGAGGACCCAAGATCTGTTTACCTGGCTGGCCATAGGACCTTTACTCCAGGCTGGAGTAAATAATCTTTGATAAACCCAGATTGCCTTGGGTTTACCATTCACTACCTATTACTCCTTAGATACATTAACTTCCCCATGCCTTAATTGTAAATAGAAATAATTTGTAAGATGGGAAAAATAAACCTACCTGGGGTTTGCAGGGGAAGAGTAAATGAATGTGTAAAACATTCACACAGTGCCTGACATAGAGTAAGCAATATTAAAGAATGCAAGACAAATAGTAGTGTTATTGTGATAACATCTTAAGTCATTGCTTTTGAAGCCATCTGGAGGTTTTGAACTCTCAAACATTGGGCTCAGCTACAAATTAAAGAACAGGAAGTGTTTTTGAGGTTTTAAAATTGCCCCAAAATCTTTCATATTCTAGAAATGACTTTAGAATTTATCCTAAGTCTCATTAAGCAAAGGTTTTAAATACTATTATACATGGGTAACAAGATAGTATTTTAAAACTCAAAAACAAGTAAGCAGAGGATCCAAGATTGGGGGCCAAAAGGAGGCAGCACTCTGTGTCACTCTGTGACCTGGGACTCAAGTAGTGAGAATACTGTTTCTCTGCGAGGGATGTTCCTGCTCCCCCACAGAAATCACAGTCACCCTGCCCGGTCCAGGGCTCCAGGCCTCAGTAGGTCTCCCAACTACTCGCCCTGAGTAGGACTATGGACAACACACCCATGCAGAACTTTCGGCCAACCACCCGAGCAGAAGTCATGGACGCTGCTCCCACGCAGCTCCCCGGCAGCTTCCCACTCACAGGAACTCCAGCTGCCACTCCCTTGTGGACCTCCAGCTAGGGGCTCCCCAAGTCCCCTCCATCTTGGGACTCTGTGGCAACGGAGATAGTCCCCTACACACAGTAGCCTGCCTGCACGCCAGAACTTTATACAAGCTCTGAAGTCAGTCGACAGCCACACACTGCACGCCACAGAGCTCATCATCTCTCACATCTCACATATCAGAACTCATCATCCAACGCCATCGCCCAGTTTCCCTACTCAACCCAACATGCCATCGCTGAAAGCAGGCACCTCCGTCTTGGGTCACTTTCATCGCCATCTTCAGTGGGGGCAACTCCCAGTTTGGAACTCTAGCTGGCCAGGTACCCAGTTTCTATCTTCTCCCTCTCCCCAGTAGCCACTACCCTGGCACAGTGACACCCTGGTTACCTTCATCATCCTGAGGGTGGAGATACCAGCTAACAACAGACAACCCCACCTGTTGAATGAGAAGAGAAGCAGGAAAGATACTGATCTCCAACCAAAACAATCTCTATTTCTTTCTTCAAGATTTTTTTCCTCTCCCTCTCCATTCTCCCACCTTCACATCCCCAACATATGTGAAACCAAGTACTTTGCATGAATTAGGATTTTTGAGGACTGTGATGTCTGAATAATATATTACAGTTGTGTTGTGTATTCTTTTTTCTTTTCTTTTTTTCCCCACCAAATTCTACTATTTTAACATTTTTAAATGCCAAAAACATACATTGGAGAAAAGATAGCCTCTTCAACAAATGGTGCTGGGGAAACTGGAAATCTATATGCAACAAAATGAAATTAATCCCCTGTCTCTCACCATGCACAAAACTCACCTCAACGTGGATCAAGGACCTAGGAATTAAACCAGACACCCTGCGCCTAACAGAAGAAAAAGTAGACCCAAATCTTCATCAAGTCAGATTAGGTTCCCACTTCTTTAATAGGACTCCTATAACACAAGAAGTAAAATCAAGAATCAATAAATGGGATGAATTCAAACTGAAAAGCTTCTTCTCAGCAAAAGCAATAATCAATGAGGTGAACAGAGAGCCTACAGAATGGGAGCAAATTTTTACCACACGCACATCAGATAGAGCACTAATCTCTAGGATATATAAAGAATTCAAAAATCTTAACACCACTTAAAAACAAATAACCCAATCAATAAATGGACCAAGGACCTGAAAAGACACTTCTCAGAAGACTGACACTTCTCACAATGATATACAATCATTTAACAAATATACAAAAAAAAAGTCCATCATCTCTAGCAATTAGAGAAATGCAAATCAAAACTACTCTAAGATGAAATCTCACTCCAGTCAGAACGGCAGCTATCAAGAATACAAACAACAATAAGTCTTGGTGAGGATATGGGGTAAAAGGCACACTCATACATTGCTGGTGGGACTGCAAAATCGGTGTAATCAACATGGAAAACAGTATGGCTATTCCTTGGGAATCTTGGAATGAAACCACCACCTGATCCAGGTATCCCACTCTTCAGTTTATACCAAAAGGACTTAAAAAGAGCATACCATAGTAATACACAGCCACATCAATGTTTATAGCAGCACAATTCACAATAACTAAACTGTGGGAGCAATCTACATGCCCTTCAGTAGATGATGATTAAATAAAAATTGTGGTGTATATATACACAGCAATAAAAGAGAATAAAATCATGGTATTTGCAGGTGAATGGATGAAGTTAGAGAAGATAATGCTAAGTGAAGTTAGCCAATCCCAAAAAAACAAATGCCAAATGTTTTCTCTGATAAAAGGAGACTGAATCATAGTTGGGTAGGGAGGGGGAGCATGAGAGAAATAGAGGAACTCTAGATAGGGCAGAGGGGTGGGAGGGGAAGGGAGTGGGCAGAGGGGTAGGAAAGATGGTAGATTAAGATGGAAATCGTTGCCCTAAGTACATGTATGAAGACATGAATGGTGTGAATATACTTTGTATATAACCAGAGATATGAAAATTTGTGCTCTATATGTGTAATATGAATTGTAATGCATTCTCCTATAATATATAACAAATTAGACTTTTTAAAAAACTATAGAATATAAAATGTCAGACATTAGGTAGTGGTGGGAGTATAGCTCAGTGGTAGAGTGCTTGCCTTGCATGTTAGAGGTCTGGGGTTTAATCTCCAGCACTGCAAAAAAAAAAAAATGAAGTAAATGTTATATATCCTTAGAATAATACTACATCTGCCTGAATAGAAAATTAAACTCTAAAATGAATTTATGCAGAAAATATGCATAATTTATTGTCAATTTTTAAAAAGCAAGTTGTAGGAATAAACACGTAATGTACTTGCATTTGTATAGAAAATCTAGGAGAACACTTATTAAAAAATAAATTGTGGCTACCTAGTGAAATTCTCAAGATGGGTGTAATTATTTATATATTCCAAACATGAGACATTTGTTGGATATGTTAATATAAACATCTTCTCCCTTTTTGTGTTCTACCTTTTAATTGTTTTTATGTTGCCTTTGGGGGCAGGTTGGGTGCTAGGGATTGAACCCAGGACCTCTATTTTCTTTAAAATTATTACAATAAGTTCTATTATATTTTGGTTTAAAAGATGACCTTATATTATTATACATTCATACAGTGAAATACTATGCAGGCTTTTATATTATATGTTAAATAGAACTAAATTCATGAAATATTTATAAATTTTAAAACTTGGTAGGTAGAAGAAGGTCATTCCATTAATCTTCTTGCATAACAATTCTTCCCCTAATTTAGTGGCTTAAAGTAACAAACATTTGTAATCTCACATGCTTATTGGTCAACAGCAGGACCAGCTGGGGCTGGCTGAGGCTGGCTGGGGCTGGCTGGGGCTCTTTAGTGGCTGTGATCTAGTTGTCAGCAGGAGCTGTAGTCTTCTGAAGGCTGGACTGGGGCTAAAGGTCTACCTGCCAGGTGACTCACCTATGTGGCTTTCCAAAAGAGGTTTCCATTCCTCACAATGTGGAACTCACCATAGACTACATGAGGGTCCTAATGCTCTTGCTCTTTGGAATTGATGAAGTATTGGCTCCAAGGCCAACAGTCCCATAGGTTGCTCTCTGTTAATGAGTAAGTGTTTTGAGGATTCTAAGGCAAACCTGTTCCTAGAAAACCTGGGACTCATCTGATGGCATACTTTGTCTTGATGACTCCCCAGCAGCCTTGTTGAAGCTTTCTTACACCACAAAGCAATTTAAGCGACTTGCAGCCACTCTTTTCTCCCTCTTCCTCTCACTCATCATCAGCTTTTCATTGTGAACTATTAGGTGGGTCCTTCCTCCCTCCCTTCCTCTCCCCTCCCTCCCTTCCTTCCTTCCTTCTACAGGGCCTTAAGAACTCCACCATTCTACCTCCCCAGCCTAACCTTTGGCTCTTTCAGCATTCCCCAGCTGCCTGCCAGACATTTCTTCTAATAAAACCCTTGCATGTTAATCCCATTTTGGGTCTTTTCTTCTTAGCGGATCCAGACTAATACAAAGTCTCTCACCCATTTTTCTACTAAATTGTCTGCCTTTTTGTTAATAAATCAACTCATTATGACCCATCATTCCATTTATGGAATACCTAAAAATCTTAAATTAACAACAAATATATCACAAGTGGTAACTTTGAAATAAATATTTTTTACAGTTCTATGTTTTTGAGGGAATGTGTGAATGATTAGTGATAATATTTATTAATTTGATACATTAAAGTTTGTCGCAGTCTGTCTGGGCACAATTCAGGAGCCACTTGTCAAAAGAAACTAACTTTATTTTTAGAACTACAAACGCCAAACAAAACAGCTCCTCAGGAAAAAAACCCTCAGAGCCCAACTGCCACCACTGGCTTCCACAAGCCACTCACCCACACCACCCTCACCACCTCCCCCAATCCTCCTGCTCTTGAGGCCGATTGGCTGGGTCGCGTGGGCGGAGCCAAAGAAGTCCCCCAATGAGCATCTCCATGGTCTGAAAGGGCAGGGAAACAGCCCAATGAGCAGGTCCGTGGAGGAGCCAATCAGCTAGATGTTGCTGGGGCCGCTGTGAGCCAATCATCAGCTGGCAGTCTGAAGGGCAGGGAAACAGCCCAATGAACATCACCGCAGAGGAGCCAATCAGCTAGATGTTGCTGGGGCCACTGTGAGCCAATCATCAGCCGGCAGCTGGAAGTTTGCTGACAGCTGGAAGTTTGCTGGGGCCCCTTTGGCTGTGGCTCTCAACAAAAGTTATATAATAAAGACTAAGTTATGATTTCCAACCTCCCCCCAAAAACAAGTGAGCAGTTTATTTTAATGAAATATTTCAAATATAGAGAAAATTTTCAGGGATGTTCATAATGAAAACATCCCCACCCTTCCATCTAATAAATGCCTTAACCATTCCCAGCATACTCCCTGTGATCTCTATCAACCTGTGGTTTGTGTGAATCCTTCCCCCAGTATTTTTACATTGTAAAAATGTAAATTTTAATATATTTAAATGTAATATATATAATGACACTATAAATGCTATATAGTGTCATTATAATTGATTACATAATATGCTCTACATATCTTTCTACAACCTTATTTCCTTCAATACAATCTTTTTTAGGTTTATCCCCAATGATTCAGTTAGATATAATTCATCTATTTTTAGCTGCAGGTTAAGATCTTATTAAATGAGTATGTCATGGTTTCTTGATCCAGCCTTCTATACACTCATGTTTCCGTGTGTGAACCAGGCTCTGAGGGACACTGCACCATGTTGAGCATTCGTGCCTGAGTTTCCCTGGATTACAACCCAGATATCATTGTGCAATTGCAGCATGCACATCTTCAGCCTTACTAGATATCGTCCACTTCCTCCCAAGACTGGCGGTTCTAGTGTTAATTTCCACCAGCTTTACAAAAGAGTTGTCATCTCTTCTCATCCTCAACACTTGGTTTCAGCAGACCTTTTCTTGTTTCTGTTTATTTAGTGTTTTAATTTGCATTTCCATAATCGTTAGTGACATTGGAACACATTTAGATACATTCAGATTTCTTTTGTGAAAAACCAGTTCAGTATTCTTTGCCTGTTTTTTCCTGTTTTGTTTTGTTTTTTGCACACCGCCCCCCCCCCGTCCTTCATTGGTTTTTATGAGTTCTTTATTCTGGATACTGATTCTATATGAACAGTTAGAAGCTATGCTGTTTCAGTTTGAATCCCAGATCTGAAAATGAATAAGTGACTTTGGATAAATTGCTTAGCATCTTTTTGCCTCACTTTTCCCATCTGTAAAATAAAATAATACTAAGCTCATAGGTTTAAATAAGTTTATATATAAGTATATATAAGTAATAAGTGTGTAGCTATATGTATACATATGTATATGTAATATATAATTATGTATAAATTCAATAAGTTTGTGTAATATAGTATCAGATTTGTACACTTATATATAATATATACATAAACTTAATGAATATCCCATATATGAAGGACTTACATTTAAGCCTGAGTATCACTATTGCTATTATTATTGTAGCTCATTCATCAAGCACATCTTGTGTTTGTGCCTCCTCAACTTATAAGGATTTCCAAATGCCTCTTTGACTATTTCTATTACTAGGGATTTTATTCTGTTTCATTGGCTTGTAAACCTTGGTCTCATTGACTTTTCCTTCTCTTTGGCCTGAACAGCAAGCAGCATCTTTACGTTGTCTCTTAGATTTGACATTTCTACTCTCTCTCTCTACAGCCTTTTCCTTGGTTCATATAACTTCTCAATCCTTCAGAGACAACTGGCCTCCCTGAGTGTGGATTTATTCTTCTATTTGTTCTAAGGTCCTTACAGTTAATCTCTATAAAATTCTGTTTTTATCATGTACCTCCCTGTCAAGAATCTAATTGGCTCATTTGAGCACCTTCCAGTTGCAAAATCTAGCATCCACTCTAAGTTTGCATGATTTTTTTTGTTTCCCAGTACCAATTTCTGAAAGGATAGGTCCTATACTGTCTCCTGAATACTTGCTGTTCGGTCTCATCCCTGCTCAATCTAGGAAGCCTTCTGAGATACTCTTTCTGTTTCTTTCCACCAACCAACTCCTCCTTATTTATCCCAAACCTGTTTAAGTCTCCTCCCATCTACAATTTCCCCAGACCAAAAATCTTCCCTGCCAAAACTTACCCTGAACCATCTCCACCCCCAACCAAAATATCTAGCTGGAAGGCAAATATCCCTCTTTTTCATAACCACCACACCAATCATTTCAGGTGGCATTTCGTCTTTTCAAATGGTGCGTACTTAAATGCATGCACATCAGCCACTCAAGAACATAGGAATTTCCTGTGTCCCCACCTAGCACCTCACACAGTGCTGGGTCAGTAAACTTCAATAAAAATCCAGTCTGACTTGTTGACTAGGCAGTGAAATGCCAAAATCAGTGTAGTGAACCAGACACTGTGTGAGTAAGTAGGTCTTTCGATATTGTAGTCTGCTGCTCTCACCCAAACCTGCTTATACCCAGTGCCCCAGCCTCAGGAAGCACCTTCTAACACCCCCGCCATGTTGCCATCAGTCTGGTCTATCTTTCCACTCAAACCTCAGAGCCTTCACTTGCCAGGCAACTCTCTCATCACATATTAGTGGCTGTAATATCCAAATTTTGAGTCTGTGTTTGAGTGTGTGGGTATGAATATGTATATATATAGATATATACACACACACACACACAACACACACGCGCGCGCGCGCACACACACACACACACACACATATATATACATATATATGCATGTATAAGTTCTCAAATATTTTATTATACTTCATTAATAGTAGTTAGCACTGAGATAATGCATTCTTTTACTTTTTAATTTTTTAAAACCATTTGTCTATTACCTTCAGTCTTCAAGTGGGATCAGTGTGCTCAATGTAAGTTTCTTTCCAAAGGCAAATCCTTAGTCATTTTCTGGAGGATGTTGTGAAAATAGCCTCTGAAATTCACTTATTAAGCTCAAGTTTCTTCAAAGCAGTGACAGAATTGCAACCTCTGCAGAGTTAAATATTATATATATAATGTATATATTATATAAATATATATATTAAAGCATGGGATGTTAATTAAAGGAGCAGATATGAATATTTATGGGTCACTTGTGGTATATGAGGCATTTTATGTAACAATTTGATGTTTCATCTTTACAATATAAAATTAATGTTATTTTTTCCATATTGCAAGTAATGATGTTGAAACTCAAAGAGACCTAGAGACCTAGAGGCTTGCTCAAGGTCAAAAAGCTCTCAAGCAGCCAAGGCAGGATCTGACTTCCCAACGTTGCAATTCTCCATTTCACATTTCACCGAAGAGTTTTCCAGAAACTTTCAAGCTTGAACAATTACTTTAGAAGTAGAAAAACATTTTCTCACTGATTAGACCAGAGTCAATCAACCTGGGTTCTGGTCTCAAATCTTACAAAGGCTATGTAACTTTAGATATTTCCTGTATCTGCTTCCCCCTGCTTCTTTGTTTATTCTTAAAAAAAAAAAAAGATGGATATATGTGGAATTTTAAAATAAAGTACACATAACAAGTTTTTCTCAGCCAAGAGAAAAGTTGTCTATAATAATGACCAATTAGAAAATCATGTCAGTGAAAATGCTGTATCTCTGACCACCTGGCATATGGAGAAAGCAGTATGTGTGAGGAGATCTACAGCTTTAAATATTTGTACTACTAAAGATAAAATTAATGAGTTCAACAAATAAAAGTTCAATGAAAGTGAGTAGGCAGGTATCGAAGAAAAACAGAAAGAAAAGCATCAATACAAAATCGAGTAAGGAAATATAAAGATGGTATAATTGAGTCATTAACCCAAGAAAAGTTTCTTTTTATAGCTTGAAAAAAATCAATAAACTTCTAGCAAATATTAATCAAGAAAAAAGAAAAAAAAAACATGTGAAATGAGATCTCAAGGAAAATGAGATCTCAAGGAAAGTCTAGGAGCCCAGGGTTGTTCACTCTGCAGAGGTTGCGATTCTCTCACTGCCTTGAAGAAACTTGAGGTTAACAAGTGAATGTCAGAGGCTGTTTTCACAACACCCTCCAGAAAATGACTAAGGATTTACCTTTGGAAAGAAACTTACATTGGGCATACTTATCCCACTTAGAGACTCCTACCTTCACGCTATCCTTCACCCTAACCTCTTCTCTGAACTCCAGCCCCAGATTTCAGCTGTATCTGGACTGCTCCACTGAGGCTTCTACCTGCTCCTCCAAAACGTCTTCACTTGGATCTCCTCTTTCCCTTCTTTTCCTCTTCCCATTCCCTTTTCCATTCCTTCCTCCACCTTCTTTCTGTGGATCTATAAATGATACCATCTTCCTAATTGCCCTCAGTTTAACCTCAGGCATCGTTGTTTTTTTTTTTAGCAGCTCCCCTCCCCCTTTGTCCTTGTCCCTTTGATAACCTTGCTGAACTCTAACAGTTCTGCATCCACAGTGTATCTATTAACACTGCCACTGCCCTAGTTCAGGCCTTGGCCACCTAACCATTATGTGGTAGCTCTGATCTGGCCTCTCTGTGACCAGTCTCCTCCTTCACAAATCCATCTACAATAATTACCACTGCCTTGCACACAAACCTTCAACACCCTCCACTGCCAACAATACACAGTCAAAATAAAACAGCCAGGAACTGAAGGTTTCTCCTCTGTCCAACACAATTTGTTCAACCTTAGGTGTCTCCTCTGGATATGCTGTAATAAATCCATTCCAAGGGTTCCAGGCAAAAGTGTTACTAAGAAATTGTGTACCGCCCAAGTTGTCCTTCAAACAAAAAATCATGTTTGAACATGCAAGAATTTAGGGATTGCAGCTTTTAAATGCCTACTCCACCATCACCATTCAAAAAAGAAAGAAAAAATAAAAAGATCTTGTAAAACCCTACAAGACGACAAAACCTAAGTTAAAATTAGAGTACAGGTGGATTAATTCTAAGCCTAATAAAACAAAAGTAAGCAAAACATTGTATAGGACTGTGTATGGTGCAAATGGAACATGTTCATTGCCATCCTCAGGAGAGGAAAGAATGCAGAATTGGGTTGTGAATTCCACCTGTGAGATAAGAGTTGAATTGTCTCTATGACTAATGTGTGACCTGTGTGACCCTGGGAACATACCTTAGTGCCTCTGAACCTCAATTTCCTCTCTACCTACCTGCCCTCTATCCAGTATTAAATATCATCTACTTATATTTGTCTATCATCCATCACCTGTCTACCATCTCCATCTACCCATTATCTGTATACAATCCATCCATTTTTATATCATGACTATACCCTCTATCTATCCACCCCTCTCTACACAATAACAAGAGGATTGGATGATTCCATTGTGAGGGGAATCATGCTCTTTTTCCTACATTCCAACCTTGAGCCACATAAAAAGGCCTTTAATTCTGCTCTCCACTCAGGGAGTGGAATAAGAACTTACTTTCTCTCTATCCCATGATTCTTGCTCCTAAAAGCAAGCAGTTGCCTTTTGATGGACAAATCTGGTGGCATTGAGCCACATTTTAAGAGACTGTGGATCTCTGCACAGAAAGGCCTCCCCAAGCCTTGTTCTCTCTTGTTCTGTGGTAACCACTGGCCTGCTTGAGTCTAGGCACAGCGAGCACGTGGGCTTCCAGTCACACCTGGCCAATAGCCACCCCCTCTATTTGCATCTGAAGAGGCAAATGAGAAAAGAAGACAAGTCAGGACAGACTAAAGTAACAAGTAGATGCCCCAAACTCAGTGGCTTTGTACAAAAGAAGCTCATTTCCAATTCTCTGAATGGTTCTGGAAGGGTGTTCAAGTGAGGGGTAGGTGCATCTCCCTTCCTCATGATCCGTAGGCTATTTCCATCTTGTGGCTCCACCATGCCCTAGGGCATCACTGAAGTCTGTATCCAGAGAGCTGACGGAGAAAGCGTGAGGATCTTCCCAGGAGGTTTTTGAAGGCTGGGCCCCAGAACAACACACACTGCTTCTGCTTATCCTGCATCAGTGACATCTCAGTCACAGAGTCGCAAGCTGGATACTCAGGAAGCGGATGCTGACACAAAATTTGAGACTTCATGAAGTTTACCAGGAATCAATACCTATGAAAGGAGAGGAGGAAACAATTTAGCAGAAGTCAAACTGTGACATAGTCTTGACCAAGCAATGGCTAACCCAGTGGGGAGCTCAGGAGCAAATATTGCCTATCAGAAGTATCCTCTCCTGAGCCAAAATGATTGTGCCTCATGCAGTCACCAGAAGGGTGTGACATGGGACAAGGCAGCTGAGGCTCTGACTGAGTGAACTGACAGATACTGTCTGCTGACTGCACTTCCTGCAGCTGGAGAGCAAGACCTCCAAGAAGAGGGGTCTGGAGGCACATCTGCAGGTCTACAGTGCATGGCTATGAAGGAGTCTGAAATTGTGATCCAGCTGTGTGCTTAAGAAGAGGGGGGAAGCAGAGTTTGATGACAGCTAGCAGTCAGGCAAGATGTCAGCATGTTGTCCAAAGTGATTAGACAAAGGAACCCAGTGCTTGGAAGTCCAGTGATCTAGCAGGTAGTTTGGTCTCCAGTTAGACACATGTGCTCACTACATCTGCTAGAACCCTTAATGGAGCAAGGTGATAGGCACCACAAACCCAACTCAAGCATTAATGTTTGGAAGGTGCCTAGACTGTGGATGCCTGATCAATGTAGTTTCCATCTCTAGCTTTTGTTGCTGAATTAAGCTTCTTTGAGAGAGAGAGTATGAATGTTTAAATGATTTATTAAGTCAAAATGGAAGATGAAACACGGCCATTGAATTATGCAACTGTGTTTGTTTATGCCTGGACCCATACGCTTTGACCTCCAAGGTGCTGAGAGTCTATGATCACTTTCCCAGTCCAAGAGAGAAATCTGGAGACCTAGCAATGAATCCCCCACTTTGTACCAAGTGACCTACTTTTCTCTTTCGACTGTCACCTCTGAGGTTCCAGTGGTCAAGGGAAAAGTTGGGAAGCTCTCTGTACATTGCAGCTGAGGTTGCAGCTGCCAAGCCCTCCCCGCTTGGGTCCCTCCCAGGAAAGCATTGGGAAATTCAAAACAAACACCAGTTCTGACCACCCAGCAAGGCTGCTGGGTTAGCTTTTGGACATCCAGAGCCACAGTGGACCAGGCATGGAGCACCACTCCTGCCCATTGGTAATTCTGGGCAGAGAACCTTTTAAAATGCCAGCCTAGGTGGTTGAGAGATGGATTGTTTTAAAAAAGGAGCTTCCCTCGATGGGTGATCTGGGCCCATCCCTCCTCCTCCTGCCACCCCTCAGTAGTTCCCACATCCAAAGCCTGGCAGAAAGTAGATGCCCCCCAAAAGGTACAGATTGGTCCTATAGGAAGTCCCAGCCCATTCCCTTATGGATCAGATGAACCATCCATAACTGGGGAGAAAAGACCACCTCAGGCCTGTTCAGGCCCCCACCTGCTCTGTCACCTTGGATAAGTGACCTCAAAGACCTTTCATAATTCAATTATTAAGTGGGACAAGAATATTAAGTCTAGCTCCCCTCCTAAAACCTCGAGCTGATGACCTCCAGGGTCCACACACATCCTCTTGCAAGTCAATGGGCTCTTTTCAACATTTTCTTTTTTATTTTGATAACCTAAAAAGATTTCCACGAGGCCCTTCTGGCTCATCAAGAGGGACATATAATTCCGAATAGTAGGTTCATTCCTGGTCACTGGGAACCAAGGTGTGCTGTGACTCCAGACACAGCACGTGTGTTTGAATCCAGTTTTTTTCCAAGGAAGAGTCAAATGACATCCATCTAATATTTGTGGATCACAGTTGACTACAGGTGACTGAAACTACAGAAAGCAGACAGTAGATCAGAGGCACTGCCATGCAGTAGATCCCTGGGATCCTGCAGCAGAAAACTTCCCATAATCTTCTGCACATGAGCATGTACACGCATCTGCAGAGAGAGAGGGGAGCAGCAGAGTCTCAGGCCCTCACTTTATCGGTACTGACAGCCCAGGCAGGAGGAAAGACTCTAACATAGAGACCTCAATGAGCTCAGAAAACAAGAGCTGCCTTCTTTGAATTCCGAGTGAGAGTTTCAGGGCTCTGGTCACCTGCTCTCTGGTTTGTACTTCCCCTGAAGACCTTTTCATAGAGTCTCAGAGTTTCCAAAGCCCTACACAGTAGACAAAATCACACATCAAATGTGGCCACAATGGTTTGCTGTCATGCAGGAGAGAATGACCTGCTCCCTTCACACACCTGGCCAAGGTCAGCTTGGCTCACCCTGGCTCCCCAGGCAGCATGGACTTAACCAAATGCTTTTCCTCTTTCAAGATTTCTTGAAGTCATGTGAACTTGCAGCAAGTCCCACAGTGGCATAACTCCTGGTCCTAGACATTCCTGACACCTCAGTGCAGAATGGCCCAGCACCACCTCACATAATCAGTGTCTTCTCCATCTTGTGGTCCCCCCGGTGCCTCTGTTCACCAAGTCTCTACATAGCATTTAGGAAAAACCACGTGGACAGAGGGTGGCAATGGGGTGAAGCTGTAGTCTTTCTGACACTCCTGAGAGAGCAGTTGAAAGAGCAAAAATGTGGGAGTGGTGGGTCTCTAGAAAGACACCTTTCTTTCGAGTCAGAATCTCTGTTGAGACTATGACTAGCACTCAGCAGCATGTGTCAGCACTTCTCATATCTCTTACTTCCTTACCAACTCCCCCTATTTCTCTCTGAGTTTTTGTCCAGTGGTTAATCTCCGAAGCACTAGAATGTCTACGATACTTCCTCCAATCGAAGTATCTGTTCCAGTGCACTATCCTCTGCCAATAAGCCTCTCCTAGGCTCCTCCCTTCCTCAACCCCCAAAAAAATTCCTCCAAGGACTTTACAATCAAGTTTCTCTACAGTCCAGCTCTGAACCCCATCCAGCTCAGCATGTCTTCTCTCCTCCTTTGGCATGGGAACACAGAAAACAGAGATGAAATAAGACCTTGGCCCTGCCCTTTCAAAGTTCTCCCCCTGCTATAGAGATGGGATGTATGAGCACCGGTTCCCACGGAGTTCATGGCGATGCTCATGGGATCCCAAGAAAGGAGTGATCATTTCCACAAGTTCATCTGGGAAGACTCAGGGAGGACCAGGAGCGGGTGCAGAGGGATCAAGAGCAAGGATTTTGGATGGTGGGGCGCACCGGTTTAAGTCTTCTATTTCCAGCTGTGTGCCTTTATACATGCTAACACCTCTGGACCCCGTCTCATTGTAACATAATAATACTCACCTCACAGGGTATTGGAGACTTGGGAGATTGTGCCTTCTTGTGGGTGCTCAGTCACCATTTTTTTTTTTCAATTCCCATGGAAGAACTCAGTGCAAACTCTGAGGCCAATGACTACAGCAAGGGCTAAGACCTGAGTTCAAATCTTATCAAAGGGTGTGGCCTTTCTTAATTTGCTTCGTCACCTATACTGTGGGAATTATAGAAAAACCCAACCCAGAGAGCTACTAGGAGGACTAAAGTACATAACTTAGAAGATGATTGGCACAAGGCTCGACATCTATTACGCACTTAATAAACATTGTGAACTGTCACAGCCTTGGAATCCATGTGGTCTGGGCTGCCTGGCAGGTGTCACTCCCTAGCCAAATCCTGAATGGTAGAGGGCACAGGGTAAGGTTCTCAGGGGGAACACAGACAGGGCAGCCACAACCTCCAGCTCCTGGTAAGTTCTTTCTTGTGGAGAAAACTCTACCCAACTTTCACTCTGTGGAAGTTGCCATTTGCTTAACTGATTTTGAAACCCAGCCTGTTGGCCTATGAATTCCAGTCTGTTTGTCTGAAATTTTCTTCCCAAAAGATGGTTTATATGTTCAACTTTGAGTTATCAAAAGTACAATTAATAATCCACATACCTGTTCATTCAGTCGCTCCACAAGCAGACTCTGATCTTACCTTTGAGTTGTCATCGTAACAGAACAGTAATCTCTGTCCAGTTTATGCAGCATCTTCACCACACACTGTCACACTTGATCCTTCACGACAGTCCCACGAAACAGGCCAAGTTTGTCTCAACATGGAAAATGCAAATAGCCACTCTAGGTCTTCTAAATTGGAGTTGCTTAGGGTCAGTGTTATAGTATGTTACTGCATGCAATTGTAGTTCATGGCCTTTTCACTGTTGCATAGTATTTTATTACATGACTGTATTTGACTGTGAATGAATATTCAGGTAATTCCCAGTCTGAGGATATTACAAAAAGTGCTGATAAAAACATTCTTGTTTGTATCTTTTGGAATTTCTTGGTCCTAGGGTGTTCAAGTGTTCCTAAAACATTAGGATATAATGTCAAACTGTTTAAAGTCACCCACCATTCCAGAATAAGAGTTCTCCCCCAGCACTTGTTTCAGTGACCTGCCCAAATTACAGCCAAAATGGGACAAATTTGCACAGGTACCCAGTTATCTTGAGGACAGATTTTTGTTCTTTATTCTGACCCAATTGCTTCAGCCCATATGAATCCCCATGTCCCGGCCAGAGCTATGAGGTTCAACTTTAGCTGTACTCTAACCAACCTTTCTCTCTACCCCTCCATGTTCTGTTAGCAGTCTTCCTGGTTGGTCAGTACAGAACTTAAGCCAACACAGTTGGTGGGAATGGGTGTGCTTGCTTCCTTTGGAAATGTTGGAGCATTCCCAAAGGGGGGAACCCAACTGAGGTGGAGCTCTTGCTCCCTTCCCTCCTGCTCCCAAGATGGAAGGTAAGTGCCCTGGGGCTGGGGAAGAAGCAGGTGATGCAGAGAGAATTAAGCACCTTCCACCCTGCAAGTTCCTCTCACTGAAGTGCCTTGTCTCCACAGAAATAGTACCAATTTCATGGTAAGACCTCCCCAGAGTAGGATTTCCCATGAGGAGTGGCATTTTGTACACCTTCCTTTGGTCCACTTCCGTGAGAGAGGGCTGGGTTGCTTGTCTCTGGCTGACTGGGGGTGGGGGAAGAATTCAGAGGTAGAAACCGCAGATTTCTGTTCATTGTGGAGACCTGGAGAAGAATGAGGGGATAGAAAAACACTCTGATGGCTCGGTAATAATTGCTAATAGTTGCTATCTGTTAGTACCTTTTATATACTGATATTACTATGAAGGACACATTCAAACCATCACTTTATACACGACATGAAGAAATCAAGGCCCAGAAAGTCTCAGTTCATCAAGGATCACATCGGGGTAGAAATAAACATTTTGTTGACCATCTAATCATGCCCAAATTAAATAATAAAAGATTTCTTTATTACAGATCTTTCCAGCGGTTTCATGATAATAATGCTTATTCATTTATAAAGGGAAAATTATTTGTAAAACTTTTTCCAAACCTTTGTCCTTCTTCCCCTCGAAGCACACTTACTAAGGCCTTGATAAATAACACAGGTGAGAAGTGTTGGTTTCATCTCACCTACATACTTACATGAAAAATGTCATTTTCTAAGCCCAAATCTATCACAATTAAAAAGAAAAAGACTTGGGGAAAAAAAGCAAAAAAAAAAAAAAAGATTCAGGATGAGCACAGGATGACCTCAACTGCGGGTCATCCTCCAACACCCCCGCAGGCAAGTTGGTAACCCACCTATATAGCAAGTGAAGCTTGAGAGCAGGTGCCAGACTGTATGCTGCAAAATTCTCTCCTCTCCCATTTTCTCTTCTACAATGCGATCTCACCATTCCCCTATCAGGAGGCTGAGTTGATTTCCCCTCCCCTTGACTCTCAGTGGCTTTTTAACTGCTTTGATTAATAGAGTATGGCAGAAAATGACACAGTGTGACTTCCTGGGCTGAGTCATGACAAGTGGGGCAGCTTCTAACTTGCCACTGGAGTGTACCTTCATGTTATATCACATTGTGTACCTTGCTATATGTGGCACAGCATTAAACTTCCAATTGTGTAAGAAGGTCAATTACCCTGAAGCCGCCATGCCATGAAGAAGCCCAAGACACTTGGAGAAGCCACACCTAGGTCAAGTTATAACAGCCTAGGCACCAGAGGAGTGGATGAAGGATCCCCAAGATGCTTATAGACATCTGTCAAGTCACCCTAGCCTTTCAGCATTACCAGCTGAAATTACGCTGCAGAGGCCAAGCCACATCTTTTATTCCCTGTCTAAATTCCTGACCCATAGAATCTATAAGCATAATAGAAAAAGGTTATTGTTTTAAGTCACTATGTTTTGGAGTGGCTTTGATGCAGCAATAGTAATGGGAAGAGGGAATGTGCTTAATATGGGCATTTCTGGACATACTTAAATTTAAATTGAAGGGGGCTGAGGTTGTGGCTCAGTGGTAGAGTGCTTGCCTCGAATGGGTGAGGCACTGGGTTCAATCCTCAGCACCACATAGAAATAAATAAAATAAAGGTACTCTGTCCAGCTACAACTAAAAAAAAAAACAATTAAATTGAGGGTTCCAATTGATAGCAATGTTCTCCTTTATATTGGTGGATGATGTTTTTACTGTATGATTTTTTTTCATTAGTATACAACCTTTCAACTGAGGATTCATTTATTCAACAATACATATTAAGGTCTAGCTATTTGTAGGACCAAAAGGACAAAGCACAGATGTGGCACCACTTGTATGGAGCTTGCATCTTATGTGGCTATTTAGCAAATGCTAGTATCACACAGCTGGAAATACCATTTCAACAGGAAGGAATAAATGTGGGAGGGAAAAGACAGAAAAACCCCTGACAACCAGGACATAGATATAGTTCTGGCTGCTTGAAGCCATGGAGACAGTAACTCGAATAGTTTAAAGCCGGAAATGGTTTTCCAACCAGCTGTGAATTTGAAAATCCCATATGCAGTACAACATTAAGCTTCTATTTTGGAAATTCTTTCATCTTTTTCGGAAGCATCTCAGGGGCCCTTCCTTCCTCTTGGAAGACAACCAGTTTTCTGCAGAAACTACTTCATCAGCAGGAGCCGAGACGTTTCATATGCAACTGTGTAATTCAGAAAACATGGTTTAAAAAATAATCTCTCCTGGGTGAAGAAAGAAATATCACAGAGCAGCATTTCTTTAAGCACCAGCTGGGCAGCTTTGGATGCACTATTTTCTTCTCCCTTTGAAATGACAGAACCCTGGCACCTGCGTATGAATGTGGTATTATTGATTTCCTTAAAAGACTGAGCATTCCATTTCTGAGTTACTGAGATTCTTTCTCCATTGGCACCAGTGTCCGCAGCACCAGTAGGAGCCATAGCATCCTCTTCGATGTTCAATTCAAGGTATAATTTTTAATTTAGGATTTGTGCCAGACGCTGTATCAGGAGTTGGAGACAGAGTCACGGACAAGACAGCAATCCTTCCTCCTTCATGTAGCTCACACTCTAGCTATGTGAAGCTGAAGTCAAACAAAAGCCAGATGTCAGAGAAAAATACTAAGTGTTGTCAGTAACAACAAAGGTGGAGGAAAGTGCTGGACACAGGAGAGATGAGGGAAGTTCTCCTTAAGCAAATAGGGAGGAGAGGAGCAGAGCTGGCAAGGGAAAGACATGACCCTGGTCCAGCCAGTGTTTGGAACTGAACAAAAACCAGTGGAGACCAAGAGCAAGAGGGGAACAGGGTGAGATGAGGCAGGGGAGCTGGCGGGGCTGGACCCCCAGAGCACAGTGAGAAGTTCTCTGAAATGCACCAATGCATTTCAACCAGGGTAGTGGAGTGGTCACATTATTGTCCGTAAAGGAAACTCTGGCTGTGAAGTATGATGGGGAGAGGGCCATAAATGACATCTGGGAGACTCAGGAAGAGGTTACTGCAATAGTCCAGGTGAACAATGATGCTGGTCCTGCCTGGTGCAGTAGCAGAGGCAACAGGGGATATAGAATGGGAGTTTGGGCAAGTGAGGAACTCAAACTTTTGTTTAATAAAACATTCTGATGAGGCTTTTCATGGCAGTAAGTCCTGGGGCTTGGACCAAAGGCATAGCAGTCAGACTAAGGGAAGTAGGTCCCTGGCCAAATAGTGTGAGAAGACACTGGTGTTTTCATGGCCATCCCAGAAAAGGACAGTGAGGAAGTGCAGGAATGGGGAGACCCTGCTTCAGGGGGAATATGGAGGGGGCCCAGCAAGATGTCAAGGAGTCAGGATTCCTGGGAAAGCAAAGGCCAGTGAGAAGTCTCAGGTGACAGAAGAACTAGAGGGACATTTAAGAACCAGAATGTTTTTGTGCTGTGTGTTGCTATAGTTATATGAATGCTCCACCCAGACCACACCTGCTTGCAATTGCTCTGAATGTCTAGAAAGTTGTATGCAAGTAGTATTTGAAGGAAATGAAGGGAAATAGGACATAGTCCATCGTGGGTGGAAACCTGAAGGAGAAAGTAGCCTTGAGAAGCAGAGATTGAGACTTTACAAAGGCAGGGAATGGCTACAAGAGGTGACCATGATCACTACCCAGATCACCAGGGCTTTCCACGGTGTGTGGGAAGGGGTTTGAGGCCTCTGTAGTCAGATGCCTCAAAACAGGATGACATCAGAAGGCAGGAAGACATGAGATATCCAGATGGCAGATGTCCAGGTAATATATTATTTTGTGTCTGCTGCACCATGTGTGTTATTCATCCAAGACTCAATGAAACAGTACTCATCAGGTATTGGGCTGGGTGAAAGGGAGGCAGAGGGAAATAAGACACCATCCCTTTAAGAACTCAGTGTGGAATAGAATGAGCAGACCTATAGGAAGAAGTCAGCTGAAGAGCCATGCAATCAGGGTTTCTGTTAGGGTAGGCTCAGGTGCAGTTAGGCTCAGGTGCAGTCTGTATTTCTTCCTCTTTTTCCTGGGTGGAAACGCCTATGTGTCAAGGAGAATGAGTAACAAAAATGCAAACTCTCTTTTTGGTGCATCAAGAAATGGATCTCAGATGGCAGAAGTAATGCAGATTAAGCAGAAAATCAAGTGGGACTCAAAGGAGCAAGCAGAGAAATGATGCTATACAAAAATTATTTGATGTGTTTTGGGGGAGGGGGAACTAGAGGAATAAAGCTAAATTACCCATCACACAGATGAGCCAGAATTGCAAGAAGCAGTTGGAATGGGACAGAAGAAGAAGAAAGAGCCAGGCATGGTGGCACAAACCTAATCCCAGCCACTCGGGAGACTGAGGCAGGAGGATTGCAAGTTCAAAGCCAGCCTAAGGAACTTAATGAGGCCTAGGCAACTTAGTGAGACGTTTTCTCTAAATAAAATGTTTTTTAAAAAATGGCTGGGAATGTAGTTCAGTGGTTAAGATCCTGGGTTCATTCCCCAATACGAAAGAAAGAAAGAAAGAAAG